GGGGTTGGGGTAAGGGTTAGGGTTATGTTTAGGGTAAGGGTAAGGCTTAGGATAAGGGTTAGGTTTATGGTAAGGGTTAGTGTTAGGTTTAGTGTTGGATAGTGATATCTTATGTAAAGAGCCCAAAGTTTCTGCTTAATATTACAAAATGTCATCAAAAAATCCATTATTACTGGGTTTTGGTCAAAGGAAAGTTTTCGGAAAAAAACTCCACGTTTCCAAGTTTGTCGACAGCGATTCGTGCTCGATTCGATCTCAGTTCGAGCTCGATTTGTTTTTCGCGCCTTTTTTTGATTTACGCGCCCAACGCCGTCCGGTTATAGCCACCGTATTAAATTATTTCGACAAAATTTTACGACATTTTTTTATATTTTCACAAAATTCGTTTTTGGTAAATCCGTTTTATCAACTTAAAAAAAACCCTTCTAACGGTTACCATATGAAAACAACGAACGGCTTTTTGTATCCAAGACCACTACCAAGGAAACTCCTGCCATAATGTCACCACGGTCACAGTCACAAAATGGTCGTTTGATCATCGCAAACAAAAAATTGACCTATCCCAATCGCATTCTCGCTTTCCACAAGGATCTGGGTCCGATTTCCGGACGGAGTCAGGAAGACCAGTGAGGGGATTAAGTGCGATGACTTACAATCTACACAGCCTGCCTACCATGCTACACTGACTTGATCCGCAGGGTGCTACTGAAGTGCTTCTTGTGTTAACGCGAGCGATAGGGGTCAATACTAAAACACCCTCCAACTGGAGGCAGTTTGAATATACTCACTACAATACTACTGCCGTGATAACATGACCATCACCCCCCCGGAACACGTTGCGCCCTTATTAGACTAAAGAGTTACCGATTTGGCAGCGGTAGGTCAACACATTTTAGGCTAGCCGTATGTGTTCAGAAGTTAGTCACATCGCTTTTAGATTCGAACAGTTCACAAATGTTATCTGATCTGATCCAGGAGTTAAAGCGCTAAGCAGGCGCACAGGATATTGTGCAGAAGAGAGCTAGAGAGAGTGAGTTATTCTGAAGGCAAGATCCAACCTGCTCAGAATTAAA